TTTACCATCTTTCATCTTTCAGTTCTTATTACGGTGCTAGACTGCAAACAAGTCGTATCGGATTATCCGGCGATTCACGAATCAATGTGCCCAGCTAGGTACCCCAAAACACACGCCCCGCTTGTACCCTAGGCACAAGCATGACCAACCCATCACTCTCCTGTCAAGGGGTTTAGGTCCTTGTCCAAAATTGGACTCCAAGCCCCCACACCTGAGTCCCGGACTCAGTTTGATGCTTAGACCTCCACCATTCCCGCCTGCAATCAGTCAGTTCGGAAAGAGCCAGAACCCACAACAAGAGAGCAACGAGCCTTCCCAGCTTCCATAAACAAGTATGTGCTCAGGATAATAAGTCTGTGACCTAACTAGAATCCAATGCAACGGACGGTCCTTAACCGACACAGGCGGAACAAGCGCAATCCGAGCCTCACTCGAATGCCTAACCAAGTCTAGATCCAAGTACCATTCCGTCCGGTCTCCAATTATCATTCATATATTTTCTATTGATAGTAGTATAATAACAACAACAATATATTTTCTATCTCTCGTGAGTGACAGGCAATCACTCGACTTCTACCGGAGTCCTGTAGCATAGCAATATACATGATCCTATCATACTAGTAAAACTCATAGGATAAGGATATATATATATATTATATATAGAACTACTACCCCGTAGCTGGCTACAAAATAACTTATTATGTAGCCACTTTGAGTTACGATAATTACTATGTTAATTTACGAGATTATAGTAACTCCCTGCTAAGTGGTTTACTATAATGTTATGGTAAATATCCCCATGTATTATAGTAACCCAACTATCGTAAATATGTATTAACATTATCGTAATTTAGTATATAAAATTATCGTAAATGGAGGTGGCTACAGAATAACTTATTTTGTAGCTGGCTACTGAATACTCTCTCTCTCTCTCTATATATATATATATATGCAAATGGGTTTCATTTAACTCCTTAATGCACAAACATAAAATAAAGTTCAGAATAATAGGGGTTATGCACGGGGGCTTGCCTGGGTAAGATATAACCAAAAGTTAGCATTCCACCATGGCGGCACGATCACCGAGGCACCATCTTTTCTGCTACTCCGGTCGACTCGATGATCCATCGTTGTTCCTATTATGACATACGTGGATGCAACGCAGAGACGTAATTAATCAAAGACAACCGCAACTCTTAAACTACGTTTATGTCTCTCACGCTAACGAGCTAGCTATAGTGACTAACGTATTGGGCCACGTATCCATGTTGTCGAACTAGGCGCTAATTTCCTACAATATTTTAGTTATAAATCCCTAGATGTTTCGGCATTTTATTAATTTAAACATATATTTACGAACTAGGGCTTTAGCTAACTTAGCAAACTAATTCCTATGGAGTTACAAAAATTTTAGTGAGCACCTAATAATGTTAGGAATCTACTATAAAAAATTCAGAGCCAACACTAGTACCCATTCATCACAACAATTTCTACAAATTTATGCTTTAACAATATTAAGTATCTCAAATTAATTATATAGCTTCTAAGAATATTATAAAACTATGTGAACATAATATACTAGCATATAGATCATAATTTTATGAACCTAACAAAATTGGTTTCAGAATTTATGGACATCTACATAAATTTGTATTGATTTTATAATTTTGTCCTAGAAACTAAATTAGAAAATATTTTAGAAAAAGAAAGGGGCCGGTGTCGAGTACTTCGGCCTGGCGACCCAATAGCCCAGCGCGGCTATCACCGGCTAATTCAGTACGTAGCTTGTTACAGCAGGCACCGCCGATCGACGGCAGGTGTGTCTCAACATTTTGCGACATGCGGAAGAGCTCGCTTTCCATTTCGAAGATCCTCGTCGTCTGCTTACTATGTCGGTCCTGTAGGCCTCGAGAGGGTTTCAAACTACCACCAAACAAGAAACCGTCCTGTTCATGAAAAATATGTCTCCATACCTCATCTTTATACACACTATCAGCATGTATATCTCCATGCATCACAGCACATGTAATATATGTCCATGCATCACCCGGCTTTTTCCAGACCTGAACAACATATGTAATATGTTTCTCAGTGACCATATTTACCAAACTTGAACAACATATGCAATATATATATCCTAAATATATGCCTATGTACGTTATTAGTTACCGTGTCTCCTCCACGTTTCAAATTTTCGCTGTAACTGCATGTGCACGCGATGGCACGCGCCCTGCACCAGTATAAATAAACTAGGTAGCGTATCCGTGCGTTGGTACGGGACAACTAAATCTTTTGTACTAAAAACACACGGATCGCACGATAAGATAACAATACTGTTAAATTAAATACCGACGTTAAAGTGACATTTAATTCAAAAAACAAAGTTCGTGAAATTAACACAGTCACGGAGAGCACGACGTCGCAGGCTCACAAACTCTACTGTATAGACTTTTTCGTGATACGGCTAAGATAATATTTTATATCGGCAGAAAGAATTCTACGATATCCATTTCTTTCATGCGCCAATAAATCCATTAATAAGTTCCATTGCATCTCCATATAATCATGTACACACAGATTCGAGTATATATGTAAATAGGTTTGTACCCGTGCGTTGCTACAGGACAGCTAAACTTTTGTACTAAAAATGCACGGATCGCACGATAAGATAACAATACTGTAAAAGTATATGACCGACGTTAAAGTGACATTTAATCCAAAAAGCTAAGTTCGTGAAATTTACACAGTCACAGAGAACATGGCGTCGCAGGCTCACAAACTCTACTGTGTAGATCTTTCCGTGATGCGGCTAAGATCATTTTTTTATACCGACAGGAAAAGATTTCCGATATCCATTTCTTTCAGGCGCCAACAAATCCACGAATAAGTTTCACCACATCTCCATACCATCCTATACACGGCGCTGACAAGCGAATTAGCCACACCTTATGTAATTAGTTTTATAATTAGCTCATGTTTAGTCCTCCTAATTGATATCTAAAAATTCAATGTGACAGGGACTAAAGTTTAGTCCTGAGATCCAAACACCATCTAACTCTCGACTCCTGCTGGCTGCTCACTTGCACCACCTTACCTATGTGCTCACTTGCACCACTTACCTATGTGTCTACACGTATATACTCTTATGCCAGAACGTCTAAGATGATCTTTATTGCCCACCCTTTGAAAATATCATAACTTTAAGGGTGTCATTTGTGTATACCGTAGGATTAGGATGCTTTGCATTGATCCATGAGGGTGTATATGAGAGTCGAAATTTTTGATGCCATTATAATGTCTAAGCTTACCAATCAGACAGAGACGAACTTGATTGTTAAAATATTTTCAACACTGCTTTCATATACTCCATCTGTCCCAAAATAGAATTCATTCTCGCTTCCTGAGCTTTTTTTCACTTCGATTAATTATATATAAAAGAATATTAATATTTATAATACATAATTAGAATCATTACATAGACCATTGAATATATTTTCGTAATAAACTTATTTGGAGATATAAATGTTACACATATTTTTTTACAAACCTAGTCAAAGTTGAGAAAGTTTGACCTACACATATCCCATAACGACTTATATTTTAGGGCAGAGAAAGCATATGCTAATGGGAGTAGTCAACTAGAAGTCGTGATGAACACAACAATACTTTCATATTATATGCTAATTGGAGCACGAAAAAACGCAGGGGAATGGACCTATATACGAATGATGGAAATATTCGTTTAGGAAATTACAGAAGGTTCATCAGTCTCACCATGTATAACCTGCACATCTTTTATTTGGCACCATTGATGTTCTTAAGGAGCAGCCATTTTTTAATTTCAGGTCTGCATGCTGGAAACACTAAAATTAAGGGTCAACCTCATTGAGTCGTCTTGCTTGATCTTTGCCAATTGTTTCCTTCCATGCATGATTATTGTTTTTTTCTATGCATGTAGCCTCAGGTGATCGATTTATTTCCTTCAAAGCAGGCGGGGATCGCAGGGATAACAATTTCTTTTTCTATCGCGCGGGGTATCGCATGGCCGGAAGGGAGGAGTCTTGCTTGATCTTTGCCAATTGTTTCTTTCCATGCATGATTATTGTTTTCTTCCATGTATGTGGCCTTAGGTGATCGATTTGTTTTCTTCAAAGCAGACGGGGATCTCAGGGATGATAGTTTCTTTTTCTATCGCATGGGGTATCGCATGGTCGGAAGGGAGGAGTCTTGCTTGATCTTTGCCAACTATTTCTTTCCATGCATGATTATTGTTTCCTGCCATGCATGTGGCCTCAGGTGATCAATTTGTTTCCTTCAAAGCAGGCGGAGATCGTAGGGACGGCAGTTACTTTTTCTATCACGCAGGGTATCGCATGACCGGAAGGGAGGAGCGATCCAAAAAAAAAAAGTCGCACCAAAAAATAGTCTTACTTTTAGTCTTTTTAGTTGTGCGAGAATGGTATACATTTGGAATAGGAGGGAGTAAGAGTCGTGTACTTCCGTTCAGGAGTCAACAAGTGCAACTATAGACTCCAAAGTATTTTCCCCCCAAAGTGAAAAACGAAAGCAACTGGGTGAACACGATGGTACTACTATCGCTTTCGTTTTAGAATGTTTCAAAAATACATAGTACCTCCATGATTCTGTTCATACGTCAAACGGAGCTAAAGGATCGATGAACCAGTACCTCATCAGAGTAGGAGATGAGTGATCAATCAATCGCTGTCGATGCCCACTCATGTGCTGACTGTATCTTGAGCCTGAAGATCAACGTGCATCGACTACAGCAGCGCCACGCCAGAAAAAGAGGCGTCTCCTTTGAAATTTCCGACGTACCTGTCGGTATCGTGTAGTGAAGTCAATTCGTCCTGCGTGCGAGCGAAAACACCTGCGTTTTGATCTCTTCAAAATAAGCGCAGCATGTGGCCACATTAAAGCCTCGATTAGTTCAGACAGCAATATAATCACCCTATGTTAACAGCGCTCCTGCCAGACACGCCATGCCTCCTAATTACGCCGCCGCGAGAGGCCGGGAGAGCGCAAGAACCATGATCCTTGCGCTGTTCGCCGCGTCGGTCCTTTGGGCGCGGCCGGCGGCGGCGGCGACGACGGCGATGCAGCCGAACGCGACATGCCTGCGGCGGTGCGGCGACATCGACATCCCGTACCCGTTCGGCGTCGGCCCCGGGTGCCACCTCGAGACGGGGGACTGGACGTTCAGGCTCACCTGCAACCGCAGCGAGGACGGGCGGCTCCGGCTGTACAACTACAAGATCGAGGTGATGGACATGTCGGTGCGCCTGGGGCAGCTGCGCATCTACAACATCATCAACCCATGGTGCTACAACGCCACGACGCGGGCGATGAACGAGCAGCACAACTGGTGGTACAACATGTCCATCACCAACTTCCGCATCAACGACGCGCAGAACCGGTTCACCGTCATCGGCTGCAACTCGCTGGCCTACATCCGGTCGCTCAACGACAGCGCCGACACGTACATGACCGGGTGCATGGCCATGTGCCCCGGGGTGAGCCGCATGGAGAACGGCTCCTGCGCCGGCGTCGGGTGCTGCCAGACCGCCATCCCCGGCGACCTCAACGCGTACCGGGTCTCATACGAGGACAAGTTCAACACCTCCGGGATCGCCAGCTTCAGCCCCTGCAGCTACGCCGTGCTCCTGGAGGCCGCTGCCTTCGACTTCCGCACCACGTACGTCACCACCGACGCGTTCATGGCGGACAACGACGGCAAGGTGCCGCTCGTGCTCGACTGGGCCATCGGGAACAAGACGTGCGAAGAGGCCAAGCTGAACGCGTCGGCGTACGCGTGCGTCAGTAGCAACAGCGAGTGCATCGACTCCAAGTACGGCAAGGGCCGGGGCTACCTCTGCAACTGCTCCGCTGGATACGACGGCAACCCCTACCTGCTCAACGGCCCTACCTGCTCAACGGCTGCCAAGGTGCTCTTCCTCAATCCTCCTACCTGCCATGGTCTTCGTTGTTGCTGGGGATGGCGGCCAAGTTAACATTTTGCTTTTGCAGATATTAACGAGTGCGAAGATGGAAGATTCAGCTACCCGTGCTCTGTTCCTGGTACCTGCATCAACACTATTGGGTCATTCTACTGCGCATGTCCTGACAAGACGACGGGCAACGCCTACAATGGAACGTGCGAGGACAAGAAAACCCAAATCGGGTGGCAGATCGCCATTGGTAGGCACACACGCGTCTCCTTTTTTCTTGTTTCTTGCAAACGCTAATTAAGTTGAATAGATGATCAAACCACCGCAGATAATGTAATGACCTAGTCTCTCTTCCTGAAGGTGTTACTAGTGGCGTTGTCGCACTGATCGTCACGGCGACCTGCCTCTACATGATCCACGAGAAGAGGCGGTTCGCCAAGATCAAAAGCGAGTACTTCAAGCAGCACGGCGGCCTCCTGCTGTTCGAGGAGATGAAGTCGAGGCAGGGCCTGTCCTTCACGCTCTTCACCCAGGAGGAGCTCGAGGTGGCGACCAACAAGTTCGACGAGCGCAACGTGATCGGCAAGGGCGGCAACGGCACCGTGTACCGCGGCACCGCCAAGGACGGCACGACCGTGGCGATCAAGAAGTGCCGGCTGTCCAACGAGCGGCAGAAGAAGGAGTTCGGCAAGGAGATGCTCATCCTGTCGCAGATCAACCACCGGAACATCGTCAAGCTCTACGGCTGCTGCCTCGAGGTGGAGGTCCCGATGCTGGTGTACAAGTACATCCCCAACGGCACCCTGTACCGGCTCATCCATGGCGGGCGTGACCGTGACCGCGGCGTGCCACGCATCCCGTTGGCGCTCCGCCTCAGGATCGCTCACCAGGCCGCCGAGGCGCTCGCGTACCTGCACTCCTGGGCGTCCCTCCCATCATCCATGGCGACGTGAAGACGTCCAACATACTCCTCGACGAGGACTACACCGCCAAGGTCTCCGACTTCGGGGCCTCGGCGATGGCGCCGACGGACGAGGCCCAGCTCGTGACGTTCGTGCAGGGGACCTGCGGGTACCTGGACCCCGAGTACATGAGGACGTGCAAGCTGACGGACAAGAGCGACGTGTACAGCTTCGGCGTCGTCCTGCTCGAGCTCCTGACGTGCCGCAAGGCGCTCAACCCTAGAGGAGCTCGAGGAGGAGAAGTACCTCTCGTCGCAGTTCCTCCTGGTTCTTGGCGAGGACCGCCTTGAGGAGATACTGGACGAGCAGGTGAAGGGCGAGCAGAGCTTCGAGCTGCTCGAGCAGGTCGCGGAGCTGGCGAAGCAATGCCTGGAGATGACCGGCGACAAGAGGCCGTCGATGAGGCAGGTCGCGGAAGAGCTAGACAGGCTGAGTAGGTGGTCCCAGCATCCTGGGGTCGCCAGAACTCCGAGGAGATTCTGGCATTGCTTGGTGGATCGCCGAGCACGGCCTCAGAAATAGAACTCAGTACCAGTCGGAATATCAGTTTTACTGATACGGCGTACATTGGAATTAGGTCTCCACGTTAGAGCCCGTTTAAAGGCAGCTATCCACCTGATTCACTAACCTCTTAATACCACTTCTACAGCAGTCAGCAGAGTTCATTATACGAAATCAATTTGAGCAACTGAATAATTTTCTTAGAGAATCATTTCCTAGTTCAACGAAAAATCATGAAAAAAGAGGAGATCTACAAAGTAACCTTTAGTGGTTGTGATGATGACTCATATTGTCAACCCCATTTGGAGACACTTCTGCTAAATGGAGAACCACTTATGTGGTGTTGCTCTACGTATTTTGGTACTCCATCCCTTGCAAATTATAAGCCATTTCAACTTTCTTCAAGAGTCAAAGCATCTAAAGTTTGATCAGAATTATATAATAAAATAATAATATTTATGATACCAAATAAGTATAATTAGATTCTATATTAATTATGATACCAAATAAATTATTTGAAAAGTAACATTTTCTTAGGAAATTTGCACTTCATCTTTGCATGATTAAATTTATTTGTATTCACAGATCACAGGATACCACTTCTTAAGCTCCCGCACCAACGCGCATGGTATTCATCTAGTAATAAATAAATCACCTCTGCACACATATTTATGTTTGAGGCACAGTCGGAGTCGGGGGTAGTCTAAAATAAAAATGTTTTGCAACGCCATTCCAAGTTGTGGGCCTTGCTCAAAATATGCATTGTAACGCTCCCAGATCTCATCAATAATGATCATGCTTGTTTTCAAGGCGATCGATGCACCATACTCATATACGAAAAAAAAAACTTCAATACATCAAGCTTTGCATCAATACATCCCCGGCCGGTTCCCTTTCGCTTGGATTGAAGCAAGAACATGCCAACCTGAAAATGCTCTTTTCTTGCCAACCTGAAAATTTGTAGCGGATGAAGCAAGCAGCGAAGCACCGTCGTAACTCCATCTCTCTATCGCCAATGTTGCTAGTTTTTTTTTTTTTTTTGAGAAACGCCAATGTTGCTAGCTGCACTGCACGCCCAGCTCCCATCCAATCATGCATCCATTTCCTCAAGCCCAGTCCAATCAGGCCGTGACAGGCGTTGCCGACACTACCACCGCGACCGCGGAGAGCCGAGCGGTGGGGGCGCCGGCCCGGTCCCGTCCACGCGACCAGGGCCCAGGCAGTACCGCCGCCGCTGCGACAGTCACGCTGGGGGGCCTGCGTGCTCCTGCGATGCGAGCGGACCTGAAAGCGCATGGGCCGGGGCCCGGGGGAGAAGAGGTGCAAGCGCACCTGGTCCCAAGGGGGCGCGTCTCGCCGGTAGCGCGGCGCCCCGCCAAGTCAGTGCGGGAGCCACAGCTATGGAAAAATTGTTTCAAGCGTGAATGAAGCTAGTACTAGCTTGGAATTAACCCTCACGTTCCAATTTTTGCGTTGTGAAGTACTCCCTCTGTTCCAAATCTATAGTAGTTTTGGCATTCAAATTAAGTCCCAGAAAGAGTGTGTCATTAAGTCCAGCTACACAGGTCCCATGCCTATAGAAATCAATTACACATTTCCTCCTCTACGAATAGCTTTATCATTTCATAAGCAGCAGTGGTTACCTCTGTGCGTCCAGTAACCATGACAGACACAGAGGTATGCATGTCATTTGCCTCTTTCCTGGGTCCAAACTTATCTACAAACTTTTATCACTTTGTGTCTTAAAATTACAGCCTATGTATTAGGAGCACGACTTGATCGATTAGATCAAAATAAATGGAGGGTGCATATTTGTTTGACTCTAGACTACACTCAAACTTTTGTCCTATTGTCATCCGATCTTCCGTTATCCAAAAATTGTCATCCGATCTCTAATGAACTCTCAAATGCATATTTGAGTCCATAAACTTACTAGGCTGGTACACTATAATCTTTAAATAAATTATGAAAAAGAAGAATAGGTAATTCCCATAATTTTTGAGGATGTGCCTGAAGTATACATGCTCCCATATTAAGATTCGAAACTATTTTGGCATGGCACCAAAATAGTGATGGCAAATAATGGAATGTGATGGCAAATAATGCATGGTTATTAGTTATTATTACCATACCCTGTGGTTGCTCGCCGGCGGGATCCTCGGAATATATTGTTTCGAGAGAGATCGCATTACATGTGCAGGAGTCCCTGTCTACTATCGCTTTCGTATCTCTTGTCTGCCTAGATTGGCAGATCTATCTATCTCTCAGGCATCTCCATTCGCTTCATCAGGATTGATTGACGCATAGCTCAAACAAAAGCAACCCCACGAAGTGTTCGTCCGAATGGGGTCCACCAGTAGTGCAGGTGCGCACCGGAAACAGCACAGGTCCTGCTAGCATCCTCGTAATATACAGATAACAGATAACTGTGACAAATGGTTGCAAAGATTAAACGGGTTGGGTTAGAATCTCGGAGCACACAACATTTCTGTGCAGGAAATGCAAAGTTCCTGTTTGGTGGTGACTCCAACTGGCTTGCTTCTCCTGTAAAATCAATGTAGCGTTCGTATAGCATGACATTCTTCTTCTCTCTTCCAAGTTCCAACTCTAGAATGAACTAGCAAAGAGATGATGCCCCGTGAAACTAATTTAATTTGGGCCCGTTTGTGAGAACACTTCTCCCAAAACATTTCCGGTTTCTCGTGAATATTCATTCTGTGCTGTAACAAAAAACTATTTTTTCTCTCTTTCGAAAAATAAACTAGCAGCTAGTGAAACTAGCCCTCCAAAGCATGCCTGGACTGGCTTCACCAGCTCCCTAAACCCCCCAGCTGCATCAACATAAAAAATCAGCTGCAAGCTGCGACCTCCGTCTCCACAGCATCTGCCACGGAGACGCTGCAAGCTGCGACCTCCGTCTCCACAGCATCTGCCACGGAGACGGACATGACAACAGAGACCACCAACACGTGGCGCGAGATCATTGGCCACACCCCTCGCTGTCACACACCGGGTCACATAGATCACAGCCACACCGACTGCACCATGGGAACCGTGTCGTCCGTTCTGTGTGAGCGCACGCGCGGATCGTTGACGTGGACCTATGGACAGCCTGATCTGAGGCCACGTGGAGTCGTCTCCACCGTCGATGCATTTGTGCTTCTTCACTAAGAATAACACGCGGGCCCTATGTGACGTCAGCGCTAGCTCCCTCCCTCTCTCTCTCCGTTCCTATCCACCCAACTGGAGAAATATCTCCCCCATCTCTATCTCTCTCCTCTCTCTCGTGTCTCCCTTAGCGCCCAAGCGGCCCCATTCTCCCTCGAATTTTTATTAATTTTAACACTTTTTGGAAACTAATTTTAAATCTAACACGGTCGGATTTTTTTAAACTAACACTTTTGGCTGCGCCTATTGCCCTAGCGCGGCCAAATGCCTGTGCCGCGCCATGCATGGTGGCGCGGCAGAGGGCTGACGTGGCGGCGACCAGAATCGCTGACCGCTGACGGGGCAGGGCCTGCCGCGCCATCGACCTTGGCGCGGCAGAGCCGAATAAAACCCCGCGGCCAGTCCCGCCTGCCCAAGCAGCAAGCCCGCCTGGCCGCCGTGCCCGCCGCCTGCCCGGCGGTACCTGGATGGTTTAATCGGAACACGTCGCGCCGATAGTGGGAGTTATTCTAAGTATTGTTTGACGTAAAATCAATAGTGGTTTTGTTTCTGTCTTTTGTTGAATTAGTTTCATGGCCGAATAGAGAATTTGATAAGGCAATGATTTTTTTTCGTCCTTCATAATTTGGTTAACCACCATGTTAACTAATCGATTACGAAAAATTGGATCAGATTGAAACGAATATTTTTTTAAGGGAACTTATTTCTTGGGCGTTTTGGCCCCATACTGTAGGATCGGCGGCGACGCGACTATGGACCCTGGCTTCCTCGACCCCTCGCGCAAGACGCCGGCCACCGGCGTCGAGATACGGCGGGACTGCCGGTTCCCGAACTAGTTGCTACTTAATCTCGCCGGCAGTGCTGCCGCGACGTATAGAAACGAATATGAAGCAAATAAATGAAGTCCGTGCGCAAGTTGACAAGCTGCCACATAACATTTTTATTGATTTGACATAACATAACCAAATAACCCCGTAAGTTTCGGACGCCAATATTCGTTTGACCTAACAAACTAAGATCCAGGAGTGTAAGGATCCCTCGGACGCCTCTCTCTTCGGATTTGTTGGCAACACATTAGGAGTGTAGCCAACGTTGGTATGGTCGCGTCGACGGTGCGTACGGCTTGTACCCTGCAAGTATATGATACGCACGATTACTTATAATTCTTTATGATCATTAGTTCATGGAGCATACATATTTAAAGAAACTACCTTTGTTAGTACCTGTGAGGCTCCTTGGGTACCAAGCGGGGCACCACCTAGCTGAGACATGCCGATCTCGTCCTGCGGCCAATTGTCCCACTGGTCGTGCTATCTGCAGAAGCCCGAGGGGTCGTCGTCGTCATCGTCGTTGTCGTCGTCCTCGGTTGTAGGGTCCTTTCCAGCGCTATGATGTGGTGGTGAACGCACCGCGAAAGTGGCACTTGTCATCGACTGATAAGAGCCGTCTGGTGTCCTCAAAGAGGCTGACGTGCCACCCGACCGTGCTGGGAGTGGCGGTTCCTCATAAGGAGTGTCCATACAGCTCAGCTTCTGAGCTAGCTTTCTGCAGCTCTTCTTCACCTTCTGCATAAATAGACGTTAAAGTTAGTGCATTTCCCAAACGTATATACACTAAAGAAACATTTTCGGAATGGACAAGTTTATGTTTACCTCCACAAAAGCCGCGAGAACACCTGGCCCCTACCCTCTAGACCGTGAAGCCGAAACACTGCTTTGTTGGACAGCCTTGACAATTGTGTCGCCTGGGTACAGAAACGCGGTTGGACAGTTTTAGTACACATACTTAATACCAAAAGGATAACAAATTGTACCATTCAAGTATCTTACCACGTATCTTTGAAGCGGTGCTCT